ATCAAGTCCTGAACGAAAAATCAAACAACGCTTTAAAAAACAAAAAAAATGGAGAATTCAAAAATAAACTTATTTACCTATGATCAATTGATTTTTTAATTTAAATTTATTTATTTACAGTCATTCACTGTACATCATTACAGCATACAAAATGAGATTTTCCATCTAGAATACACTGTATATTGGCTCAGTCAAGCACATCAACATATGTTATTGTCAACAAATAATTTTCCATTTCTTGTTTCCTGTATATTTTGCTTTTTTCCCCCATCCTTGATTCCCTCTCTCTCACCCTCTGCCATCTCCCACCCTCCTCCCACACTGTCTCTGCTATCCATGGTTTGTTTTCTATGCCTTCCCCCCATACACACATTTTATTGATCCACTAAAGATCTTAATTAAATATCTTCAATAGCAAGCGCAGCTGATACATATCCATGAACACAAGTCTGACTTTAGGCGTAAACCTCAGTGAATAGAATGAACATAGTACAAAGTAGCACCTAGCTGGGTCTACATAGCTTACTGCAGTCATCAAATAGGTATTTTAAATGCATTTTTTTTAATTTCAAGAAAAACAGTTTTATTTTTTCTGAAACTTAATTCACATTAATTCTGTAAGCATCATCAGAGCATACAAAATGTGATATCCCATCCAGAATATACTGCATAGTGGCTCAATCATGCATGTTGTCGTCAGAAGTTTTCCAGTTCTAGTTTCATATATAGATATGTATGTGTGTGTGTGTATATATATATATGTATGTATGCATATATATGTGTGTGTGTGTGTGTGTGTGTGTGTGTGTGTGTGTACACACATACCCTTTTTCGTTTTGGGTGTTTTTTTTTTTTTTTGAGAGGTTTTTGCTATAGGGTGCGTGCACTCGCCAGACAGAGATAACTGGATCCTGATACGGTATCTATATGAAGTATTCTTAAAATTCAACAATTAAAAGACCGGTAACCCAGACCAGCAGGAGCCATGGTGGTTAAGGCACTGGATCCCACATGGCTGACTCCATAATTCAAGTCCTGGGCCCGATGGTTTGAAAACACACTGGACACATGCAAATGTGTATGTGTGCTCAAAAATCCCAAGAGAAGAGATTGTGGTATGGCTATCCCCTTTGGTAATCTCTCTCTCTGTGGTGAGCATATATGCTCTCTGGCAAAAATAAAGATAAAAATGCACAAGCAGGGGCCAACAGATGGCACAATGGTTACATCACTGAACTCCCACATAGTCAACTGTGGTTCACATCCTGGACCCAGTGACTTAAAACACACCAGGCGTGTGTGTTCACCCAAAATCCCGAGAGGAGAATGAGAAGGGATTGCGGTGTGGCCATTCCCCCGAGGGGTGATATCTCACTTTCTGTCTCTCTGGTGAGTACATTTGCCCTATAGCAAAAATCTCCTCCTCCCCCAAAAAATGCACAAGTAGACATTTCTCCAAAAATAGACTAATGGCCGGTAAGCACACAAAAAGATGTTCAGCAGCATCAGTCATTAGGGAAATGTAAATTAAGGCCATTTCACACCCACCAGAATGGCTATCATTTAAAAAAAAAAAAAGACAAATATTGCTGGATATTGAGAAATTGGGATCCTCATATCTTGGTATTGGGAATGTAAAATGAGGCACTTTTGAAAACATGGGCAGTTCCTAAGCAAGTTCATAAAACCGAGTTCCCATTATTAGCAGTTGTACTCCTAGATACATAGCCAACAGAACTCATTACATATGCCCATGCAAAACCTTGCACATTAATGTTCATAATAGCTAGATGCAGCCTACATGTCCAGTCAAGTAAAATGTGGTCTGGTCGTGCAAGAGAAATGTATTCATCCATTTAAAAAAAAAAAAAAAAAAAAAAACCTCTTAAAGCTCTCAATTCGGTGGGTTCTATATTGTCATAAGGTTGTGCAACCATTGTCAGTAATCCCAGGGCATTTTCATCGCCCCCGACTGGACGCCCTAGCGTTAACCTCACTCCGTCCCCACAACGCCTAGCAGCCGCTACGCCACCTTCTATGGGCGCGTGGCCTGCCCGGGCGTTTCCGCGTGTCATCTCATGTCTGGCTTCCTTCGCTAGCAGAGCTTTCAGCTGGTGGCTGTCATGTGGACTGGCTTTGCGGGGCAGCTGGTTCGCGCCGTGCGGCCGGCTGCCTGCACCCAGGTCTGAGCGGGCGCGTGTCCCACGGGCTGGATCGCGCTGAGGCCCGGTCGCGGTCGTTGGGGCGCGCCCGGGACAGCGGTCACGAGGCTCCCCGGGAAAGGCACGGGAGCCCGGCCACGATCTGCGGGGCCTCTGTGACACCGTCGGGCTCCGCCTCGTCACCTGACTGCGCCGAGACAATCGGTCT